CCCATAATTCACAAGAAAATGGTGTATTTGGAGAAAACCTAATGAATAATAATGAATAATAAATATAATGAATGCATAGCATTCTGCTATTAATAGACTTCAGCCTTGTAAATGCAACATAAAGAATACTTACACATATACCTTACTTTAAAAACAAACCTAGTGATGTTATCTTTCATTTCATACCGTCATCTTCCTCTGTCTGTTATGTGATCAGTGCTCAGAGTGTCCTCTGTGCTAGGGGAAAACCTTCCTACTCATACTACCAAATATGTGCTCTGATACTCAGTGAGACATAATGTTTAAACAAGCACATTTTGCAACTTATTTGTCATACTTGCCTGTAGTTTTTTAAGTATTATAAATATTCATATTGAGCAAATCTCATTCTCAGGCTATCTTAAGTGAGCCAGAAAGGCATTTTTCCCTTCTATGAAGGGAAAATGGTATATTGACTGATCAGGAAGAAGCTGCAGGTGCATCTTTTAGAGATCCTATCCTTACCTAGTATAAATAGGTGTAGCTTGCAATATGTAAATGCTGGAAATACAAGAGATCCAAACCAGTGTCTTTTGAATTGTATATAATTGTCAATAGTAAGTTCCTCCTAGTCTTGAAAAGAGCCCGCTGAAAAATGGCAACTGCCAAAGGATGAATGGGGCTCTCAAAGGGAGCTGCAGCGTTTAAGGGTGTTTACACACAAAAACACCGTCTGAGGCTCATTTTTGAAGCTGGACTGGCACCATGCTGCATTAAAGTCTGTGTGAGGAGCGGAGTGTACATGACAGAGTAGAGAAGAAAATGGTGAAGAAGCAGCCTGAAGAACAAGGGGTAAGAGGTGGATATGGTAAGGACTAGACTGAGGTTAATTTGAATTGAACAAATAAATGTAGGTGATAAGTTTCTTGTTTTGCAGTTAACAGAAAATTACAGTCCATAAAACCACAGAAAGTGGCTTTAGTACAGAACCTGTCACCTGACTAGTTGTTGAGCAGCCATGATATTTATGTTTTGTTGCTAATCTAAAAAGGAGGGGGAAAATATTTCCCAACTTGACTTATAAAATGACAGATTTTTAATTTGCTAACCAATGTTCCCTTTCCCATAGTCCAAGGAAAGATGGATCATGCAGACAGTCTTTTTGGTGCTATTAAGGATAGTAAGAACTGTTCCTTTTGTGGACAAAGAACACTGCTAGTTGTCTGAGATTTCCTGAAGCTGCTGCTGTCAAATCCTAGCTCTGTTCTCTGAAAATAGGACAAGTTGTAGATGTTGCATGCAGTGAAGTTAGGATGGCTGCCTCTAATTAATGAAGTAAAAGAAATTGAGACTTGTGAACCAAAACCTAAGACAGGTAAGAAATTGTGGGAAGTTTGGAGGACAAAGAAGGGAAGTGGAATACTGTTACAGTTGAACTGGTGCTGAATATTTAGTTGAAATTTTGATCATCCTATAAAAGAGAGAGAGGTGCAGGCTCCAGGGGATACCAACTTGTCGTGCGGTCCCAAAATTTCTTATTTCTAATCTACATTTTTTCTGATTTGCCAGAGATTTCTTGAGCACTTCAGAAGGTGGATAGGCAATAAAGAGTCCTTGGTCTGGTTATTGTTTCTAGCTAGCAGGTTCAGGTTGTTACTCTTTTATTCATCTCATTAGTAAGTTCTAATCTTAAAACAGTTCTGAGTTGTCTGAAAACCATCTTGTCTGAAATGGTTTATTTATCTGCCTCAGATGTATAATCCGCTATTTATGAGGTTGTATTAGATTTTTAAATATCGTAAAAGAAAGCATGCTCCACTGATATCTATCTAGCTGCAAGATACAGACATTTTAAATACAGGTAGGGACCTGTGACTGGGTATCTAGTGCCATTTTAGATCTCTCAGCCTCCAGCTGCTTTGAAAACAAAGGCATGAGTTAATGAAGATCCTCTCATATGTGCCAACTCATCATGGATGTCACAGATACCATGGAGTGTACAGTCACCCATGCTTAAACATCTGAATTGCTACCAGGAGTTCAGAATGTCTTGCAGTATCCAAAAGTGTAAAGATGAATAATGAATTACTTCTGTCATCAGTGTGATGAAATGGATGTGTTGAGATTGGCAGCAAAGATTGCCTCCCCCCTCCCTGTGACACCTATGCTTTTGCTACCACAACCAGTGTCAGATTCTTCCCTTCCTGTATTCTAGCCACAATGAAAGGGAATCAAAATAATTCTTCTGAATCTTTTAACATCAGGAAGATGATTTCTGACTTACCACTCCAAGGCACAAGAGTACATTGCTGAGTTGGTACTGTATTTAAAGCTGAATATATTGCTTAGAAAATACAGGTGTTTGTATAGTCTATTACTCATTTGGTAATAGCATAAACTCCACATGGATCCCTTGTCATGGGCAAGCGCTCAGGACTTTAAACAATTTCACAAGAATGTAAGAGCATTTGAACCCCTAAGGAAAAATAATTTTTTGCTTATTCCAGCCTTCTGAGTAATATCTTATCAGGAAAACAGAAGGATGTGTTAGTGTTAACTATTCAGCGTATTTTACTTTTCTGGCTAAACTACTCAAAATGAAAATGGCAATGAAAGAGACTAAAATATTAAAAAGATTGAAGTAGGAAGCATTATTTCATTAATGTGAGATTCTCCTCACAGGTCAGTTATGTTGGGAAATAGTTGTCATTGGAGCAATTACATCTGTTATGAAATGACACATTTTGGTAGATAATGTTTTTGTTTTGGCACTGAATGGTAACTTCATTTGTGTTTTCTGGGATGGACAAGGGAGTGTTTTACTATCTCACAGTTCTATAATGTTAAGCAATTAGTGGGATGCTGGAAGACAGTAATACCATGAGACAATCTCACATCAAAATGTCAGTGTTGCCAAAACACATAGAATATTGAAAGCAATGTAATGTTGTATATATCAAAACACTGAGATCATTGAATGGTCTTCTGAGTGGAAACAGGATCTGATCTCTACAGCTAGGGCCTAGTTCTGCTCCCATTCAGTGACAAAAGCACTGTGCAGGGTGATTTTGGTCTGTGTGGGTGTAGTTCGTGCAAGTCACTTATTTGCTGATGATCAGTCTGCCATTGCTAAATGCCTGTGAAACTTGGTAAAGACCAGGCTGGAATACTGTGCAGGAGGAAAGTGATACCACTGTAGAGATAAACAGTGAACTTATCTGAGGATGATGTACCTGAGCTGTATTAAACTATAGCTTCAACTGTCACATTTCTGAGGAAATAGAAATTTTGGCTCCTCTAACCTTTAAATGTAATTTTGCAGCTGGCAGCAAGTGTAGCTGTACCATGTAGTGCTGGTGACAGGCAGAGTCTTCCCTTCTAGCGAGGAGGTGCCTGAGTGAGCAGCCCAGGCTGCCTTGGCGTGCTGTAACCAAACCCTGGCGGGTCCTGGCCCGGTGTCTGGCCGGTCTGCGATGGGAAATGGACAGTGGGGGCCAAGGAGCTGCTGTGCTCACAGAAAACAGCAGTAACCCGACACAGCCACCTCTGCATTGCTGCATGAGCATCCAATACCCCCTTGTGATACCTGATGTAGCCACGCTGTTCGCTGGCTTTATTCTGCTACTGTAGCTCACTAGTAGTGACGTGCTTCGTTTAACCCATTTTGTAACATGAACTACGCATTGAACTCCCGTTCATTCTGCACTTAGAGCCTGATCCAAGGTATATTAAATATGTTCCAAAGATCCAGTCAAGGACTTTTGGGTTTTCTTTTTGTTCATGGGCTGTAAGGGTTTTTCTTTCTTTTGTAAATAGCTGCATTTAAAATAAAAGCAAGGAATTGCACAAAGACAAGCTGCATCTTTTCCTATCTATGTATTAAATGCGCATGTTGTCACATATAATATTGTAATTGAAATAGAATGTGAGTGCTGTGTCCTCACAATGTAGATGGTAGAATTTTTTGTACAGAAAATCATACAAATCTAGATGAGTATTGTTATTTTGTGAAAAGAAACAGCCACATAGAAAATAGATGGCGTAGGTAAGTGAATAAACTGATACACTGCTACAGCTGTAATGCAATTTATGCTCAGTAGCTCTGCACGCGATAGTCAGATGTTATCCTGTCCCCAGCTACTCCTGAAAACTTTATCAGAGAGTACACGATTTATTTAAATTCATCATAAACACATTAAAATACTAGCAGGCTAGATGGTGCTGGAGATTATTAAAGTAGGATTAATTTAAAGCGTATTGCAAAGCACAGTTGACATCTTGGATCCTACAGAATATCCTGGATATTTTGAAGGCTTTGTCAAAGAAAAAGCCTCCCACAGTTGCTTCAGAGGCTTTAAAGACTTAATTTTGATTTTAAATTACCTATTTGCAGTATTGTCCTCCTACACTGCCTCATCACATTTTGCATGTTAAAATCCACAATTTAAAATGAAAAGTGTGCTTTTACGGCAGCTGTGGGGAAAGGGAAAACAAGGGACACAGAGTTCAGAGAGCCTTTGGTTCTGGTGATCCTGACACTCAGAGCCCTGCCAGTTGACTGGGCAGTTTTGCATGCAAAGGCTCTTCTCTATCTGGGAAAGAAAGAGGTTACAGAGAGTTTGTTATTTGAGAAATGGATCAGCCTGGAACTGTGCATAGCATCTAATGTCCACATAGAGAAGTGCTAGCTGTAAGAGGGAGGAACAGGAATGACATATTCTCAGTATTAAATTGTGCTCAGAAGTATCAATAGGCAAGGAAGGAAACAGGTGGTAAAACTCACTGAGATCAGTGGTTTGAATATGTCATGTTACGTACTATATATGCATATGCACCTCACAGCAAGTAATACTCTAGCAATACCACTAGCTGAACTGCTTCAAAGCATGCATTTACTGAACTCATTTGAATTAAAATTATCTGGCAATGTAGAGCATAATTTCAATGTATCATAAAATTGATAATTTGGATTAATATCTGAGATAACTTTAATTCTTAAAGAAAAAAAAATTTCTTTTCAGATGCAATTGTGTGGAACCAGAACATCCTAGCAATAAAACCTTACAATACTGGCAAGACTACAATATATCTGCATCTGATGTACCATGGGGGAACCTAACGGTGTCAGTAAGTAAATTTTGGAACTTAATAAATTAAGGCATAGGCATAAATAATTTTGTCCATCTTACTGCAACAAATATATTAAAGAAATATATTTTTTTCTCATATTTGTTCAAACAAGTAATGAAATATACTTAAAAAAAATTAACATGGACTTTATAAGCTTTTTTCAGCCTCTGATACTACACATTAAAGCAAGTGTGTGCATTTTGTGCCCTGCTTTGGAACCTTCTTGACACACTAGCACAGGAGCTTGGCTGAGATTAAGTCAAACATGTCAAATGACAATGAATTTGTCCTAAATTCTGCCAGATGGCAAAATCAAAGTTCCCTTGTGTGGAAAGAGTCAGAAGCATTTATTTCCTCCTAAATTCTGCCAGATGGCAAAATCAAAGTTCCCTTGTGTGGAAAGAGTCAGAAGCATTTATTTCCTCTAAAACACTCCTGCAGTAGTTCAGGCTATAAAAAAAGGGGATGGGGAGAAATTTTGTAACATTTTCTCTTCAGTGACCAGTTTTTTCTTTCATAAGTTCTGTCATTTTTTCTCAGGGAAGGAAGGGGATAAAGCTGCAGTTCAGCGGGGCTTGCGTGAATGTAAAGGATTTATATAATTCAAGTTTGCCTTCTTCCAAGTGACATTTACAACTTGGTTAAATGTTGTGTTGAGATTGGGCCACCACTTTTTCTCGCAAATGGATCATTTCATTGCACAAAGAGAACTGAAGTGCAAGAGACACCAGCCCGAAGAGATAACTGAATTAACCAAATCATAGGCATAATCAAACTGAACACTTGAAAACCAATCCAGTGGACTGTCTCCAGAAGATACTGTTCTTTTTTTTTCAAAAGCAGGAATACAGAAGAGCTCATGTTAAGCTGTCTTCCATGGCTGCTCTTTCTTGCTTCCACGCCTTGCTCTGAGCAGGGACTGCTCCTCAATTCTGTTGGTGTGGCAACAGCAGAAAGAAAGTTGAGAACTGCTGGCCTGAGGGATTCCAGCAGTCCAGAATGAATATTCTCAAAATTGCAGCACACTCTAAGAGCATCTGTGCAGGGGCAGACTCCTCCTCTCACTTTCTCAGATCTCTGACAGTGTTTTTCAGAGTACATTTGCAGCTGAGGAGATTTAAAATAACAGATTTTGTTTTAACTATAAATGTATAAGACTGGCTGCATTATATAAATCCCTTAAAAACTTCTGTGAAAGCTTGTTACCAAAACTTGAGTTTACACAGGTAGCAGTATAACTGACCAGCATTTCCCATGAGTCCCTGTAGCTGCCAAAGAAATAACTGAATTTTTTGTACTTTGGTGTTTTTATTTCTTGCAAGCATCACCAAGAAACTTCTGTTCTAGAGAACTGAAGTAAGAGATTAGACATTGCTGTCTGTAAATATTTGGTCAGACTCACCCCATTAAGTCTCTTTTACTGCTCATATTTTCGTATATTTCTTGTGTCTATTTGAAATGTTTCAGTTTCTGAAGATCTGAATTCTCATTCTCTCTTAAATCCCAATGATTATTTTTTTCTATCTAGACAAACTGAGTGTGGGCAAAGGATTTTGGACCAAGTATGGAGAGGATTTTGGACAAGTGTGAAGAGGATTTTGATGGTGACAAAATCCTCTTCAGGAGGCATATGATGAACTTCATCCGAAGTTTACTGTTATACCAGTATAAAAAGCTTTGTGCTTTTCTGTCTCACAGTCATCACATTGAAATTGTGTTTTTTCCCAAGAGAATCTTTTTTCAAAGCTGAAATGTCCCATAACATGGTATTGTGCAATGAATCTGATGAGCCAATGACACACTTGATTTAATATTAAAAAATCCTGATCTGGCAGGATATTTCTGCCTGGAATCCCTGATTCTGGGTGTTGTATTTCGTTTTTCTTAATAAGTGTGGAGGTATTGGGAACAAGAAGGAAAGGCTTGTGAGTCCAGAGCTGGTAGCTCACAATTCTAGAGCTACTCTATGATTTTAGACAAGTAAGGATAGTGGTGTAGAAGTACTGGAAATGCTTTCTACTGCATCTGCATATTGATAATAAATTATATGAAATATAATTGATGTTAAAGATTTTGGGTTTTCCGGCATTTTATCAGGTCTTTTTTTAAGAGAAAGACAATTTGCAGGATGTGCTGCCCCCGTGTGGTATTAAATGTATTTGGCTCCTTTTAGGCCAATGCCACACATCCTAAAGAGCTTTTTCTTCAATTGCTGGGTCTGTGAAGTGAAAACAAAAAAGTAGTTCTTGGGAATGCACCAGGAGCAGCCTTTCTCTTTGTGCCTTTTGAACTTTGCTTTCCACACTTGGAGAGTGTTAGTAAGTGTTAATCTGTATTTGTACACAGAAAATAAGTCAGTGCACTTGCTGAGTTTGAAAAAACACAGTTTTTCTCTTAATGACTTTATTTATGATATCTCAGTGACTTCATCATTTAATGTGGCAGAAAGAGATTCCTTTAAGAATTTTTCATGCAGACTAGATACACACATAAAGAGTTATAAGTCTTAAAAGAATAAATATCTAAACATTGTTTTACTGTTTCTAGTAATACAATTTGCTTGTAATTTAGGAAAGAAATTGGAAAGAATATGTTAGTGTTAGTGGATAATTTTTAGAACAATATTATTTTTCTCTCCCTGATAGGAATGTAAAAAGTTTCATGGTGAGTTTGTTGGACGAGCCTGTGGTCATCACGGCCCTTACGTTCCAGATGTCCTCTTCTGGTCTGTCATCTTGTTCTTTTCTACAGTAACGCTCTCGTCCACACTGAAGCAGTTCAAAACCAGCCGATACTTCCCAACAAAGGTGTGTGCCAATATTTCAATTAAAAGTTGTCATTAGTCATGTCTGAGTATGAATTCTGTCTGCATTGCAAATTCAGTTAACTGCTGGTGAAGTAGACAGTGCATCTTTCCTCTGTTAGAAACTTGTATCAGAATGAGCATGGTTTTAGCAGTAAGCTAAAGCTGTAAACTATACTAAAACACTGAAGAAAAATCTTAAATCATACCTGAATATTTTAGTTAAAATTATCATTTCTCTCAATAATTGTAGGTACGCTCTGTTGTCAGCGATTTTGCTGTCTTTCTCACTATTTTGTCCATGGTTTTAATTGACTATGCCATTGGAATTCCATCACCAAAACTTCAGGTTCCAAATGCTTTTAAGGTAAGTTGTCAACAAATTGAGCTGCATTATCATTTTGCAAAGTAATCCACTATGATGGGTTTGTAATTTTTTATTATCATCATCATCAGGGAATAGTGATGCTATTTTAAATTTTTTTGAGCTCACAAGGTATTATGCAACCGCTCTGATTTATGAATCATGTAAGTGAACCTTTCCCATCAGGCCCCTTCATGCTTCCTGATGTTATCTCTACAGAGATTAACAAGGTTCAAATCACCCAAATCATAGACTCCTGTAATGTTCTGGGGCTTCCTCCAAATTTTGGCTTTACTGAATCTAGTGCAACCAAGCCTGTAATAATCTAGATGATTTTATTATATATAATTTCTTGGTTTGGCATCAGAGGAAGTTTAGGATGATTTTTAGTGCTCTACATGGGCTGGTTTTAAAAGAAGTCATATCCTAATAACATTTTGTGTGTATTGTTGTGAAATTGAAATGTAAATAATCCGTACAGTTCTGACTGGCCATGCATGACTGTTTTTATAGCCCACCAGAGATGATCGTGGCTGGTTCATTACTCCTTTGGGGCCTAATCCTTGGTGGACAGTGATAGCTGCTGTAATTCCAGCCCTGCTTTGTACTATCCTAATCTTTATGGACCAGCAGATCACAGCTGTCATTATCAATAGAAAAGAACACAAACTAAAGGTATTCAGTCAAAATTTATACTTTCACTGTTGTTTTCTGCTTCAGATTATGTCATGTGCATCAATCTACTTGAGTATGCTAGTTTGTTATATATTATATGTAACCTCTTTAATTTTTTATGCTTTTTTCCTTTGTTGGTCTGTGTAGTACCTGTGTCCTGTGTCAGTGATCCACTGCCTTACAGAAGACTTTATGAATGTCATTTGCAATACAGATTCTGAATTAAGAAAGTGCTACTTTCTGTGCTTTAGTAGAAGTAGGATTCATTCACTTAAAGAAAAAAATGCCTTCAAGTTAATAATCTCCTTAAATACCACAATATTAGTTGCCTCCTCAGGCATTGACAGGGTTGTTCTACTGGATTGGATTTCTAAAGACTACCTAGGGGTTATTTTGTAATATAAGATTTTTTTTTCCCTCTCTTCATCCTTCTCTGTGGTTCTGCCCATCCTTTTTTGTAATGCCCTTCCTATGGCAAAGAAGGGAGAAGAATAAAACTGAGCCTCAGAGGCACAATGGGTTCTTAAAACAACATAGGACAACTTCGTGCTCTGTTCTTCAACACTTTAGTTGCCTGCAGATGGAGAGAGAAAAAGGGACATCACCCCTCTGAAAAACTGTTGGGCAAAATCTAGCAGCAGGTTTCTGTACATGTATATGCAGCAAGCTTAGGCTTTTTTTTGACATACTTTTAATAAGCAGCAATCCAATCCCAAGTTGCTTTAGCAAATGCATTTGCAACCTTCACTTTGCATTGCCTCTTCTTGGATGATTGTGACATTTGATATGTTCTTTTTTTGCCCTCTTTGTCAGCCTGGCTCTTCATGTCAATCCATAGCATTGCATGTGGTTAACTTGACAGATGCAGGAATTTGCTGCCAAGCTTTGGAATGTGTTTTTTCAGCACTGGCATCTGGGAGTCAGATGGTCCTCCTGGCTGCCCCCTTGTCTTGCTGCGTTTTAGTTTTGCTGGGGTCTGGTGTAGCATCACCTGTTGCTATGCTTCCTTTTCTTCCCATATGTCAGGTTCCTCAGATCATGTATGAATGTGAGGAAATGCTCTCGGATTCTGTATGCATTAGCAGATACATTCCTCATAAATGTGTCAGAAGGTAAAAAAAGGTGTCTCTGTTAGGATTTAGAATTAAACTCTTTCTTTGAGTGCATTGTGCCTGTAACTAATATCTGTGTTTGACACATCTCTGAGTTTGTCAAGATGTGTCTTGGAGATAAGACTCATAAGCACTTTTGGGGAGTGAGGGAAGGTTGCTAGAGTTGATTCTCTTCATTTCCTTTACTTTCCCCCCTTTTTAAATAATGTAAGCAAATAAGATGGCATTTTCATTTTGATATGTGGCTTACATTTTCATAAACCCAGACGCTTCCCATTTTAGAAGTAAAAGTTGTCTTCATAAAGAAATGATTTGTTTGCTTCCAACTCATTTTCCCCTCTTTTTTTATACTTCCCATAGCAAATTCTGGATAGTGCACATTTCAGCTTTTGGCAGTCTCTGTAGCAAACCCTTCCAAGTTTAGTTTAGTTACTTTTTTTATGTCAAAAGGCATTTGCATGGGTTTACAGGCAAAATTATGGTTCAACATATTCACATTGTTTGCATGAACATCGCTGTTTCATCAGACCATGACACTGGATTTGCTGCCATATTGCAAAGTTTTGTGGAGATGGCTAACTACCTGGCTTTTTAATGAGAAATAGCTTGAGCTGCTGCTTGCAGCTGTGAGGGGGTCCTGGATACTTGCTAAAATTGAAGTGAAATATCCCACTCAGCTGTGGTAGCAGATATCTATAGAACCAAGCTTGTTGCATTGATGCATTTTTCTTTTTAAGTAAAGATCATAATTGCACGTTTTTAAATTTATCAAAGATTTGACCAAAGGGTTTTATGCACAAAAACAAACCATTTACCTGTTGGTAAATTTATGTAGCATTTCACCACTACAGAAGTGATCCAAACCCAAAGGTTTTGTATTCATTTTTCATATGTCTTTGATGATGCTATGTTTGAATAAGAAAACCGATAAAGCAGTACCTGATTTTATATTTTAATTTAATGTATCTTACTTTACAAATGTCATGGATTTTTATGTAGAGAGCAATAAAAATACATACTTTTCAATCTCTTTGTAAGGATGAATGGAGGGTGTACTAAGGTTAGTGCAGTGGGAAGCAGGCAATGCTGCTGGATATTCTGCTTACTGTTACCCACGGAAGAGACTTAGTTAAAACAGAGAATATATGAATTTTCCAGTGTCTTAGCAGTATCCATTTTATAAGCAGGAAAGCTGTTTGGTGCCCATTGTAGAGTGGATTTGTGGTACACTTAACTCATAACTGGAAGGAGTCCAGCAACACTGAGCACTGAGTGTGCACTACACAAGTTCGTTCCTCTTAGATAACAAGTCTGCCATCCCAACCTGGATAACACATAGAAGGAAGCTATTTTTTTAATACGAGTCTGAAATTTTTAATTGTCTCTAGCTGTTCATTAGGAATACCTGCCAGGAGTGTTCTCCTTAATTCAGATGTCATTTTACATCTTCTTTCCATCCTTACTTTTTTTAACAGAAAGGATGTGGATACCACCTCGACCTACTCATGGTGGCAGTGATGCTTGGAGTGTGCTCTATTATGGGATTGCCGTGGTTTGTTGCAGCCACTGTCCTCTCTATTTCCCATGTGAACAGCTTAAAACTGGAATCAGAGTGCTCTGCTCCAGGGGAGCAGCCAAAATTTCTTGGAATCCGGGAGCAAAGAGTCACAGGGCTCATGATTTTTATCCTTATGGGCTCATCTGTCTTTTTGACAAGTATTCTAAAGGTAATTTGAGGAAGGAAGGGAAAGTTAAAGAATACTACACTGAACATTTCACTGTTACTGTATTACCTAATGAATGCTCTTTCCAGGGACATTACTAACTAGCATAATGTTACTCAATGAGAGTCTAAAGTGGAGTTCTAATTTTACTTAATAAAGTTCATAGGGATTTCAAGCACTTTTTAAATAAAAACATTTTAATGAAAATCTGGCCTGACTGAAGTCAAAGGTAATTCTGCCACTGAGCTGTAGTAGATGAAGATTAACACTTTGTCAATACTTTGGGTCAGTGGCAAATTAACATGAAATAATCTCATTATACCAATTTAAAATTTATTTAGATAATTTAAAAACATTTTGTGGTTTCTGAGTAATTTAAAAATATTTTCACAGTTGCAAGAAAAGTTCTATGGTTTGTTTCTTGGAAATGAACATGAAAATTCTCTCATGTTTCCTGCATACTCAACACAGCTCACCTATGTTCTGAAAAAGGGTCTCTAGGGTCTCTAGTTACAGGCATATAATACCATCTATACACTTAATACTTTTTAAAAAATTATCTGGCCTCTGTGAAACCAGTGAGAGTTTTGGCACTGGTTTTAGTTAAACCAGAACTTAGTCTTGCATGTCGCAGTGAAGGCAATAAGAACTTGTATTTCCCAGCAGTATTTTATTAAGTATATCATAAAGCCTTCACTTTGAAAACACACACACATTTTGTGTATTTAGTATTTTTATTTTCTTATCTGTGGACGTACTTGTTTGCCTACACAGTGTATGCTGAGAACCTGAACATTTAAAATAGCCTCTTAAAAAAAAATCATTCCATAAAATCATTGACCCATTTTTAAGTGCTTACAGCAAAAAATATTACTTTTAGCAGTAAGAAGCATTTTGTGTCTCTTGAACATTTTTCTGAGCAGTCTTTAAAGTAAAGAATTTAAGTATATATTAAGTCTTTCATGTTTTTGTGTAGTTCTGTTAATTTTATTAATAGGAAATTAAGTATATTACAATATAGGGCCATGAGAGGAAAATAAAGCTACAGAGCCAGATTCTTCTTTTGCTTTATACTCTGAGAAACATTATTAATTTATAATTGACTCTGAATTTACAACTTGTCTGATTAATGCAGGCATATGGCACTTTGTGTTTCAACTGTTTTGAATGTCTTTCTAAAAGTATTTAAAATTGTTAAGTAGTATTTAATATGCTCTTCCTTTTCTCTGGTTGTTTGTGCAGTTTATTCCTATGCCAGTACTTTATGGAGTGTTTCTTTACATGGGTGCTTCATCTCTAAAGGGAATTCAGGTAAAATGGATTTATGATGAGTCTATTACTGATAAATTTTCTATAAAAAATAGAGCTCTTATTATATTATTTAGCTTTTGTGTCTAATCTTAAAGGAATGTTTCCAACCTTAAATTTTTAAAAGTGACTCACTTAAAAAGGAAAATAGATTCTCTCTAAGTAGAGTATTCCCTTTAGGTAATGTGATCCTTTTTTTTTTTTTCTTTTTTTTTTGTGTACTGATTTTTCTGTTCTTTCTTGTTATCAAGGGAATTTTGCTGAGCCTAAAAACTGAGTAACAATTCAGGAGCTGTTCCCTCTATACTGCCTTCCCATTCCCTTGCTTGCATGCTGCCCATTCCAAGTTCCTTTGCAGGGCTACACTTACCTTAAACTTTGCCATTAGGGCTAACTTGTCCTAACAGTAACATAAGTGAAATTTTAAAGGTCTTTCCTGTGCAAATAAATACTCCAGGCAGGGCAGGGGAACAATTGCAAGCCACATTACTTCAGGGATGAAGGGTCAAGTCTAGTGGAAGGGCAGCATTCCTGCCATGGCCTTAAGTAGGAGTAGCTGGCAGAAGCCGGCATTCCAGCGTTCAGGTTTGGGTTCTGTTTCTCTTGGCTGGCTGCAGAATTAAATGGCAGAGTGTCAAATTCTTAAGCCCACGAGGCATTGACACACCTTCTGAGACAATTGAGAAAGAGCAACCACATGGTGAAAACAGAAGTTATACTGTGCAAAAGGTCAAATACAAAAAGGAAAGGAAATATCTGATTGTTTTTTTTTTCATTATATTTGGTTGCAAGTTACCTCCATTTATAGTCAAAGCTGGGAACTTTTTTTTTTTATTTGACTGGTGCTCTCTATTCAGGGACTCTTCTTTTATAATTTTGCCTGTCTCATCCTTTGGGTTGATATTCTCAGAAGTGTAGTTTGGCTTTTCTGAGGTTTAAATAATTTCAGTTTAATATGGTTCAGCTGTTTCTCAGAACAGGGGTATGAGAAAGTACTCTACACTATTGAGGAGTGTTTTTAAGGCATGCTGAAATCTGGCTATCTTGGAAAAGTGATAGCATCCCCCTCCTTATCTCCCTCCCCCATGCTGGGACAAGGAATGGAGATTTGATAAGATGGCTTTTGTGGGAGGATGTGCTTTTTGCTGTTTCTGTGAAAAAGAAATCTGCTCAAATCTGGCCAAATTATAAGCCTTTAAAAAAATGCAGTTTGCACAGGCTCAATAAAAATTTCCAAAACTTGACATTGCTGAAGGCTGTGTGAATATAGCATGGCTCATCCATGCAGGGAGAATTGATGTATCACCATCATCACTGTGCCATGACATAAATGTCTCAGGTCAGTATGGAGCCAAATAGACCTGAAAAATAGGAACCTCTCGCATAGATTCCTAGCAGCATGGCAATCAACTTTCTGGCATTCATTCCTTTTTTTTTTTCCTTTTTGTTTCTGGTTTTGTGAATAAAGTGAAATATGGAGAAGAAAACAGCCTGAGATAAAGTGTCTGGTGAAGTAAAAGAAAAGCTGTTGTTCATTCACAGGAAATAAAAGACTGCAGAGGTCCCTCCATGAGCAGCTTGTTATGTGATAAAGGAGGCAGAGCTCAGTTGTTGAAAAACGAGTCTGGGATGTATTAGGAAAGCAGTGTGATGGTGCATATGCCCAACAGGTTCAGCCAGCTTCCATTCAGTTGGATTCACAATTGTTTCATGACCACTCTGAAGTCTGGCTTTGCCTGGTGTTAAGGAGATCATGATTAGCAGCATTGCTTCAAAGTAACCACCTTCTTTGTGTGTAACAATGTGTGTAACATCCAGTGGACAGGGGGTTTCCTGCAGGATGGCTGTATGGAATGTAATTCAGTGGAATCCAATGTCTCAGCACATCTGCAATACAACCAAGGGAGACACAAGTGTATTAAAATGGAAAGGAACTGAAGTATGACTAACCAAGTAGTTAAACTTTGCCTAAGTAACACGTTTCCCATTCATACTCAGGGGGCTCAGGGGCTAGAAGACAAGTCCTTTGCCACTGCTGGACTAGTTATATTAAAGGCTTATGGTTGTAACTGAGGGAGTCTCTTCTGTGCTGCTGAAATGATGTTGGTTCTGCCTTTAGAGTAACAAGCCGGATTCTTTGGATATTCAGGATCTCTTAGGCAGTGTGTGAACGCCAGCATAGATGATCCTACACCTCATTTTGATCCAAACTTTTAAAATTTTCTCTTTCAGCTTTTTGACAGGATAAAGTTATTCTGGATGCCTGCAAAGCACCAGCCAGATTTTATTTATCTAAGACATGTTCCTCTTAGAAAGGTCCATCTCTTCACTATAATTCAGCTGAGTTGTCTTGTGCTTCTCTGGATTATAAAGGTTTCAAGAGCTGCCATTGTCTTTCCTATGATGGTATGAACTTTTTTTTATTTATTATTTCCTATAAAAATCCCTTTTCACTTGTGGATAATTATTATTGAAGAAAAAAATAATTTTAGACTGTTAATTATAATAATGCTTTGATTCTGTGTTCAAAGACAATTTATAATGTATTAAGTAATGAAAAATTTGACATTAAACATCTGTTTTGAGTCCAATGTGTGGATAACCCAACTTAAATTCTCTTAGGAAAAATTACTGTCTTAAAGAAAAAATACTGAATTTTATTTGATATTTTTTATTTAAGGAATATTACTAAATCCTGTAACAGAAAGAACATTCACTTTTTAAGGAAGACTGTTTATTGAACTGAGTAGCCTACAAGTTCTGTGTCCTGAGAGAAATAAAGATGGTTTGCTGCTCAAATGATTTCTCTGATGATTCTGTGACTAATAGAAAATAGAAGATATTTACTGACCTCAGTGAATGTTAAATGCTTCAAGCCATACTATGTGTGAACAAAGGAATAGCAGCTGTTAGCTTACTCAGATTAAAAGATAAAATTTTAGCTACAAACTGGTCACTTTTGAAAGTATTCCTCTACAAGTGTATCTGTCTGTTTTACCTGCTTAATTTCCTAATTCTTTGAATTAATATCTTTGCAGGTCCTAGCTTTGGTATTTGTCCGAAAACTTATGGATTTCTTTTTTACCAAGCGGGAGCTCAGTTGGTTAGATGATTTGATGCCTGAGAGCAAGAAAAAGAAACTGGAAGATGCTGAGAAAGAGGTGGGTCCTGGTTTCAGGTTTTTTTGTTTGTAGCAATTTACCAATTTCTCCTTTGGACATTTAAAGAAAATTCTGCCAGGCGCATTCCATCCCATGCACCAGGCAGACTTGTTAACAGTATCTAAGAGTAATATTGTCATATTTTGTATAAGTGCTTTTAAGGTTACAAATCTTAAGGTGGGGATGTAGATCCTTAGACTGCCATACTGTCATATAAAATACTACCCACAGTACTCCTGGGGATTGCTTCTGAGACCCACTGATGGTGTGCAGGGATGAACCTGCAGGAAAGCCCTCAGATCCTAGCCCTGGAGCACTTGGATGCTGCACTGGGCAAGGTCTCATCCCTGCAGGAGATGCTGAGGAGAGAAGGACAGAATGTAAAGCCTGTGGGCGTCCCAGCTGCCTCAGCCTTACACAGGGCACACGGCATCACTGCGTGCCCCTTTGTGCCCAGCAGTGTTGTAACCCTGTGCAGTGTCCCACTGACACTCTGGGCCACAGCTGTCCTCCTGCCACTGCAGAAATGATTGTCTGACTTTGTAATGAGAAGGTCAGTGACACTGCTAACCCTATTAACCAAATGCTCTGATGCTGACTTGCATCCTGTGGCATCTCCACCCAACTGACTGTTTCAGATCTGGACTCCTGATCTCCTTTCAGAGAATGCACTTTTCAGATAATTCCCTATCAACTTGGAAACTATCCCTGAGACGTGATCCAAGACCAGTGAAATGTGTGCCTTAAGGATTCCCATTAGTAGCTTTATTTGCAGAAATAGGACACGAGCTAATAATTTGAATGTGTAACTATACAAACAAGATTACTCTGCCTTTAGGATTGATTCTTCTGTGGCCTTTGACAACTCCCTGCCCCGTCTGTAATCTGAAGAACTCTTAATTTCGATTTTCTTGACACATTCAACATACTGTCAGGGAATATATGTTGGGGAAATGATTTTACCTATAAGAACTATCAAGATGATTATTTACTATTTAGTATGTGCCTGTAAAACTACCAGGCTGAAATTAAAATATGTGAGTCATTGTTTTCTCCCTTGAATCAAAGCAGACCAGAGAGTTGTTTCATCATGGTGTCTGTTGTCATCACAATTCAGAGTAACCAGAAGTAACCAAGGTAGCTGTCTTGTGGGTCTGGTTATTGGAAAGAATTCCTTGTTATCCTTATGTTTTGGTTATATGTCACTTTCCTTCCCTTGCTTGATAGGATGGCATCAGAAAACAAAACTGGGAAAATCTACTGGTGTTACTTTGTTTCATTCACTGTCTATTTTGAGAGGTTATTTTTACATATTTTGGCATTTCTAAATATTTAGAGCTATTATTAAAACTGTTCAACTGTCAAAAACTTATGAAGCTGTGAAGCCTGGAAATGACAAAATTAACTAGTAATAAAAAACTTCTGACATGTAGCCTAAGGAATTAATTGGAGAGTTGCTATCACACAGCTTTTAAAAATAGAAGTATTCTACCCACAAGAATATTCAGAAATATAGTTGACAGGATCTGAAACTTACTTGATTGGATCCTAATTTCTTCACTTAAGTTGTTTTTATATTTTTAGGCCATGTTTTTTACAGGGCTTTGTACATTTATAGTGGATATGATACGTGCCTTCTCCTCACAGACCTCCTTTGGAAGCCACTTTGATGTTAATCAATGAAGTCTTTCTGAGACAAGAATGAACAAAGGACTTTCACATTTGAAGAAAAAAAAATATTGTGACTTCTTAAATAGTTGTAATAATAAAACATTGAAGGAACAAATTTCTGAGCAGAGAGAACTACTATTTTGGAAAACTGTACTGGCTCTTGCAGCTAATAGCAACACTCAGTGTTTATGGTGCATGTGGGGCTTTGGTGATCTGCCAGAAAATGATAAATTCTCTTTTCAGCCAACCCATGCTTTCAGACAGGCACTGGTGAAAACTGTTATAAAGCCATCTAATAAAGGGAAGCAAGTTGTGCAGGTCTCTGGGTGTCTGTTGGGCTCACACACAGTGCAACAGTTTAAAGCAGGATTCGATGGTTACGCTGCTGCCAAGATTTGTTAACCTGCTAGCTGTGGTTATCCTGACCTAAAGGGTGTGGACGTTGAGAATCCTCTTCTGGAGAACTTGTTTTCCTTTGTTCTTGCAGGCAGGACATGGAGCTTGAGAGGTGATCTGTTCTTCTCCCCTCCTGCTAAGACAGATTTGCTGAATTTTAAATTACTTTACATAAAGTTTTTGTTAGATTTATCTCCTAATTCTCTTCAAGTGAAAACTAGTTTTGGGTCTCTTGTTTCACTACCTTTCACTGAAAAATCAGTATTATCAGTATTAAAACTGTGTGAGCAAACGTAAATCATCTTCCCTAATTTTTGCATGTAAACATCATTATCAACATATATCCTGTTATCAGTGTTATTTAAAATTCATCAGACAGTTGTTCACTCACGAATTTTCCTCTTCATTGTTACAAAACATTGCTCTATTTGGCACTGGAAAATAGCATTAAGTGAAGATACATCTTTTAAAATAGAAGGTTTTACATATCAACTATTTAAAGTAAAACTTGACAAGTATCTTACCTTAAGAATTTCAAATAAATACTTAATATTAAAGAAAATGGAAAGATGATTACAGTACACAAATTTCCCCTTCACAATTTCATATCCTGTCTCATGTCTATATTCCTTTTTTCTAGGAAGAGCAAAGTATGTTAGCAATGGAAGAGGAAGGGACTGTTCAGTTACCACTAGAAGGACATTACAGGTAAAATATACCTTTCCTCTTTTAGGTGAGTTGCAATCAAATAAAGTAAACATGCCACGATATTTATTCTTAATGCATATTAATATCAGGAGGGTGTTTGTCCGGTATAGACAGGTGAACTGAACCATACTCTGCAGCATTTAACAAGATCAGCCCTTTTCTAGACTTTCCACATGATCTCACGTTCCCTAGGAAAAAGACACACTAATTGGAAGTTTTCTATTGGGCAGGACTGCAGGATCAGACTGTTCACAATGAACTTTGGCTTCTGACATGCACAGTGTAAAAGGAAGATGCAGAGCAGGTCAAACACTTCACCCTGATGCAAGCAGGGATCCAGGAAAGGTTCTGAATATGTTGCAGAAAAACTAGGTTCTTACAATACTACATTCTAAAACATTCTGTTTAAATCATATTATGTATGATAATGAGTGAATCAAGAGCTGTCCCCAGTAGATAAGGCACAATGCAGGGTTGACAAACTAAAAAAGCATGAACATTTATGTTACAGATAGTAGTAGTACATATTGCCAACCCATAAGGAATTAATATAATTTAAAGTTTTCAGAAAGAAATTCTTAATAAAAGATTTGAAATATCTGGTGACTGTAGCCTCTTCACTAATGGGAGTTGATAGAAACACTATCTTAGAGTGGTCTTCTCTCTAACATTTTAACACAAAGTTACCCTAATGTCTCCTAATGCAAATCAGGAGATTTGTAACTGTGTCTCTGAGAAATCGCAGCCTATTCCTTTTGACTCATCACACTGCTAATGGTCTGGGTTTTTTTCTTGTTTTGTCCATACCTTTTTGTTGTAATTTATATTAGCAATATGTAGCTTAATTTATTTTCCAGTGTGATCTCTGTTGCTCTCCATTGTGTGTTGACATTGGTAGAGTTGCTGGACAATACCTGACTCTACTGTAAAGGTTGCAGCCCTCTAGCTAAAAAACAAAGGCCAAGTTTCTGGTGGTCAAAGTGGTTCCCCAAAACACACAACAGCAAGTTTACTGAATGCCAAGTATATGTAACTGTGAAGTCAGGAATAATGTACCCCTTGAAACACTTCAGACTTTATTATTCTTAAGTGTATTAATACATGTTTGGAGCAGTCCAGGTAAAGCACAGAGCATAATGGCTACAAAGTGCTACTTAAGGTTACTGATTATTTTGATTAATTGGGGCATTTTTATTAGATCTCTTGAATATTTTATTTTGTTAAAGCATTTGATTGCTTTTAGAATTGTTTTAAAAGTAGGTGGAGTTTCAGAGGATACGCAGGACCTTTTGGGATTCATGTTTAATCCAACAATGCCACTAACATGCTGTGAGATCTTGGGCAATATTGAATTTCACACTTGTCATTTTTCTCTTGTTTATTAGTTGTGACACAATCAATTTTATTGATGTTATTTTGATTAATTGCTGTTGGAGGAAGAAAATACTGAAAAAGTGCTAAGCTGTTCTGAGAGAGTATTTAAGTAATTGTTCAGGACTTCTGAAGTTTAACATAATTTCTTAACTTACATTGCACTTAATTATTGTCATCACTATCAGTTTTCAAGGACTTTTATTGAGTTAATAAGTAACAAGACTGTTGATTGTTTCATTGTGTATTTACTTTCATTCTTGTCTAGAGATGACCCATCTGTGATAAACATTTCTGATGAAATGGCAAAAACTGCTGTGTGGAAGACATTGTTGATATCCTCAGAGAATGCAAAAGATAAGGAGTCAAGCTTTCCTTCTAAAAGGTCTTAATTTTTTTTTACTTCATTGTACTTTATATATTGGTGTCAAACCAATTTTAGAATATTTTGCCAGGGGTTAGAAAGATTTTTAGCATTTTGCAGTTTTATTTCTTATGTCCAGTCATAATATTCTGAGCTGAAGACACAAATTCACTATTTATTTAAAAACAAAAATCACAAATATTTGCATGGTAATTAGTTATGCTCCAGTGGAAAATGAAGTTGAGCATGCCTGATGCTTGTGTAATGAACCACCAGCCTCCACCTGGATATTGCACAACAGCTGTTGTGTTTGTTCTGCTTGCTTTGGTTCTTTCCTCCTGAAAAAGAAGTGATCATCACTGCCCTGGAAATAGCTGTATGAAGAACCCAGTACTCTGAATGCAATCTAATAATTTTGGAGTGAAAATAATTTTATGATTGCATCATTTCTTTAAATTTTTCTGCCTACTTCACTTGTACTCAAAACAGTTAAGTAATTTTAAATTTTAGTCCTGTAAAATGAAGCTGCAGTATTTTATCTGTGCTACACAGAAATAAGAAAATATTAAATTCAAGAACAGTGTGATTTTCTAGGAGAATTTTTTCCTTTGCTTCCATAAATTTAAAATTTAACTATTTTCTATTTAATTCCTTTGAATCACACTTCTGTCATAAGCTCCCCTTCCTAATCACTCTAGAAGCTCATTCCCCAAAGGTAAGACCTTGTCCCCAACCTTTTCCTTGATTTTATCTTCCAATTCAAAATGGTGTCACCTTGGAACCCAAACTGACCTTGTGTAGTTTTTGGGGAGACAGAATGAGAAGAAATTTCAAATAAGAATGTAAAGTGTCTTCATTAAAATCCAAAATATTAGAATTTGAAATTTACTCTGTATTTAAAATAGTGTATTTAAATAGTGTAGTGTATATTCAGATGTCAAACTGAATTTATTCCTAGTCTTCTTTTTTAAAATACAGAATTATATTCTGCCCATTTCTAAAATATACTTTTCAAAAGCCATGTTTGAAACAGATAGTCATTGTGTCAAGGTGAACAGATGCAGTAAGAGAACACTTACAGTGATACACATTTTTTAATTTTGTCACCCCGAAATAGCATGGTACTTTTCAGTGTTGTTCTTTTCCCTGTACTGCAAAAACCACTCTGAGCAGCTGATGACCAGAGAACCTTCATTTCAGACACCCATGGAGCAGCCCACTAATGTGGTCATTTTGATGATATTTCCTGACAGTCAAAATAGTGTAGTTCTTGTTTGTCTTCCACCCTTCACATGGACAAAAGGATCCTGTCACAGAAATCTGTGGTGCATGGGAGGAGGATGTACTGGCGGCTTTTCTTGCCATATGACTCTGCTGTCCAGGCTGTGAAAGCCTGAGGAAAGAGAGGAACCTGATGTGGTACATTCACAGCCCCTGGGGACACAGGAGCTGTAATTTTTGGGGTGGATGTTGCTTTCTTTGGTGGTATGATAGATGATGTAAATACGACCCTCTGAACAAAGAGCATCCACAGAGATTGTGGCTCAGATAAGAGATTTAGTCTTTAAACTGCAGTGAAATAGAAACTAATTTTCTAAAGGTCGCATTTTCAATCTTGTTCTTGTATCTATGCTCTTGAAAACAGACTTGAGAAAAAAATGTAAGATTTTTCTGGTTTTAGATGTGAGTGTCCTTTTGTAGAGGAACAGTCTTAAAGACTCTAAAATCCTGCATGTTCAGGTGCTCTAGCTTGTCTCAGATTCTGAGAGAGGAGTAGATTCAAAGAGCTTTAACCCTGAAAGACTTTCTTTCTGATAAGCAAAGCCATACCCACCTTTAATATTAAATTATGTTAGGGATAGAAATACAAAAATATTATAAACTAAAATGAATGTATTGTTACATTAGGATATAATTTAATCCTAGGTGATTACTGAGGAAAAAAAAGCTTGGTATTGCAGGAGCTGTAAGGATAATTTTTGCAAATGATCAAGATCAGCAGTATTAGATTACACAATTTCTGCAGTATCATAGAGGGAGAAAAAAATCTCGTTTTGAAATAAATTTTACTGATGCCTTGTAAAGTTCAACTACATAATATTTAGTACCCCTTTCTGCTGTCAGTTCTGCTTCCTTATATCTCAAAATATTATTAAATGAGGATACTTAAATTATTATAGTGTATTATGCTTTTATGTAATGCCTTTCATGCAAGGCATTAGCCAATTAACAGGAAGTTACTCCTATTAATTGAATGCTGAGTAGACTTGGCCAATTATAAACTAAGATCATCTACAAGAAGAGATTTTAGGCTGGAAATGACAAATGACTTCCCAGCCTGATGCATGGATAATTTCTATTACAAGATGTGCCCTGGCCCTGATCCTGTGAAGTACAATCATGTGAGGGAGTTCTTACATCCCAGGCTCCAGAATGTTTTTTACCTGTCTAAAGAGAGGACTTAGATGGGATTCAGTCAAGTTGCCTAGCCATATTAAAATTCCCAGGGACCTAAAAGTCTGTCTTTGAGTCTTTCTTGGTAGAACTGAGCACCAAGGCATTTGTCTGAAACACAGCCCTCTTTGGTACATGTAAATAAACATTCCTCTGTCTTTGCTTATAATATTAAATCCTTTAGAGAGCAATTTCAAAGCATATGCAGATCTGACCACGGACAGGACAGACTTCGCTGGTCTTTTGAAATATTGGAGAAAGAGGCATCTGTCACTTTGGTAGGATTGAGTTCCTTTTTCTACCTGAAGATATGAAAATCCCACATCCCAGACCTTCCTGCTCAGGCTTGTTAGACTACTCCCTTGGTAGGGAGGAGGAGAGCTCTGTCTCCTTTACAGACCCACCAGTGACGTGTTTTACTGGAAAAAGACTGGACTTGTCCTTTTTTTTTCAAATTTCTCAAGGCATTAAAGCCCACATCTGCAGGAGCTGCTCAGAGATGTGAATCCTAAGTAGAAGGAAGACTTTCCTGATATCACAGAGGCACCTAAAACGTGGAAATATTATAGACTGTAAGGCACACAACACCTCAGTGTTTGCTTTTACTAAGCACAGGTAACTCCCTGCCTGCTGTACTGCTGCACTTTCAATTCATCCCCCTCCGGAATTTGTTTGCATACCCTTTGTGTGCAGAAAGTGTAACATACCCAATTCTATCACTGTTCTATAGAAGGTGACAGATTTGGCAGTTGAAGTGGCAGAAGTTGGTATTCTTTAGCTATTTCCATTAACACCTCTGGAAGCTGCCATAGGCAGAGAAGTAAGCTTTGGCTGAACTGAATTGTATCCTTAAAGCAATTTTTATGTGAAGAAAAATGTCAAATGATTGTAGAATTGTGCATGAATCACCTTAAGAATTTGAGAATTGATCTTGCTTTCTTTTAGCCTTGTGTAACTCAGCCTATTTCTCATTCATTCTAGTTAAGGAATTATTCCCATGAAACCTGGTAGGTTATGTGCTTGCTACAGGTTTGTTCTCAGAACCATCTGGTTTTTTTTAGATACCCTGCCACTCTTTGTTGAAGGCTTGATTTGCCTGTGTTGTGAAAACCTCTTTGCATTTTCATACTGTGATTGAGACTCATTGGAAGAACATGACTTTTTATTTATTTACGCTGTTGTAAATTAGGACACTCACACACACAAAAAAATCATCTGCTTTGCACGTATATTGCTTTCTGTAGGCAAATCAACATAGTTTTAACTGGGAAAAAAAAAGCTGAATCCAAATTTGAACTCTGGTTTGGAGTTCTGATTGATACGGCTTTTGTCTGATCTTTCAGTTTTGTTTGTTTTTAAAATTTATTTCCTTATAATGTATACATGAGGAAGTATGTATTACACTCACATGGGGAATATTGTCTCTCCCTATCCTCCCCAGACTTCTGCTCTCCCCAATCAAGACTTAAAGCCAAATATTTGTTGGATATTGGCTTGCACTGGTCTAGTTCAGAAACATTCCTTCTAAATGTACAGTTGAACAAGAGAATACATTTTAAAGACAAGAAATACTTACTGTGACCTCTTGTTTGTTCCATTTAAGAATGCGCTGGTATTGTCTGAGAACTGTGCCATTACCATTATTTAGTAAATTAAGTTGTATTTGCCAAAAAATGAAAAAAAGAAATGGCTATCTTTGCTTGCATGCTGGCTGTCTCTGTACATCTGAAGTTCTTTACCTACCTTGTCACTAAAATGCTGGCTGATGTCTTCTACACCATTCAGCACAGAAATTTTCACTTGCTTTCCCAGTTTGTGCCATGAAGCATGAAAAATAAAGTATCTGTGCAATGTTGTTTTTCAGGTAGATAATTTAAATATATATATGTGTGTGTGTGTGTGTGATAGTGCTACTATAACTGGGTTTTTTTGTTTCCCCTTTCATTTCCTAGTGCTGAAATCAGAAAAGAGAAGAAAGCTGACTCAGGGAAAGGTGTTGACCGGGAGACTTGTCTATGACTTGCTCTTCAAGTAATTTTTTTACAAACAAATTAAAGGAGTGCCACAACCACTAAATATAAATTATTTACCTTGTAACTTTTGTCTTTCATCTCAAACTAGCACAGGTAATGTAGTGCAATACTTGTCTCATTCCACCTTGTCTACCTTGTCTAGTATCAATGTAAATGTCTGCAGTAGCCAATGCAAAAAATCTTTGTGTTCGTTGCTGATCTTGGCCATTTATCAGTAGTCGTATCAGAAATGTAATAAGCAAATTTTCTTTCAAATTCAACTTTCCTGTTAATAGGTTTGTACTGTATTTTGCTACTTTTTCTGTGTGAGAATACTTAATAATCTTGATTCAGAATACTTAATAATCTTGATTCAGGATGAACTTGAAAACCCTTGTTCCATTTTTTTTTTTTTTTTTTAAATCACCTAACTACTAAATTATTTCAGGAGACCCAAACTGGCAAGCAAACATTAAGAAGTTGATAAAATAACAACAGATCTGACCCTGTGAATAAACTAACAAGGATAATTCTTTCCTCCTTAAACTGTCCTTTTGAAGTCATGGATTACTTATTTTACAATGTGAATTGCAGGGTCAGATTCCATATTTATGAAGTTTTCCTTGATTTAATACAGTGTATTTAATATTAAAATTTGTATGTAACTGGAACATAGTCCTAAATATATATAAATATATATATATATATAAAATTATATATATTAAAACATTTTCTCACCTTAGCTAAAGAACACCACCACACATCCTTTGATGTGAAACATGGGTATGGTATTTCTTAAAATGCGATTTGTGATTAAGGTATCTTCTCTTGTATTGTATGAATGTTGCCATGAAAGGCCAAACAAATGCATTTTGTCATTAATCAATACATTATTTTATAACAGGGAAAATTTTGTAGATAAAAACTATACCCCACATGCAGTTTTATCACCTGCCCAATGATCTTCCTCTTTACTGCCTAAAATTTAGCCACATAAAGGGCGTATTTATATTGTCTTCTCTCCACTAACAACTGTAAACCTCTTCATTTCAGAGATTGTGTATAATACTTAAATGGATATCCTGCTGTTGTTTTGTTACAGCTCTTTATTATTCCATCAAGTACATATTGATTAAGAGATAAAAACAACCTTGAAACGTAAAATGTCGCTTTAAGGCTATTACATTTTTCGTAATGGATTTTGTTACTGCCCGATCCTTCAAGCTGTTCTTTTGTGTAAAGGACTGCGAGATTAGGTGTTGAGTGGATAGGAATGTGGAGCTAAAGTTTTATCATGTTATTTGGAATTCACTGATTTTTAAATTTTTTAGGATAAATTTTTAAATTATTAAGATGAAAGCTAACTCTATTATGCTGTAACTTTGAATCCTCAAAATAAGAATTGTAGTCTTGCAATCTTCGTAAGAACTCATTCATAGGGCTCTAACATTCCCAAGCTTTCCCAAATGAGCTAATTTTCTATACAACTTGTGAACAAGTTTTCCCATTCAGCACATTTAAAGTATTCCAATGTTTTTGTGTATGTGAGTGTGTATGTTTTAATACTTTAGCCATAAATAATTGCATTTTGCTGCAAACTTAATAGGGTCACTGTTTACCTTAAATTTAAATTTACCTTAGCATTATCAAAGCCCATTAAAAGCCATTTTTATGGAGAAAAAAAAAAATCTAATGGACACGAAGAAGGATTCACATCTAATTCAATGTTTGTATATGTAAATTTAGGAAAAAAATGCTGATGCATTAAGGTTAAATGCTTTGTTTTGTGTACTTGATGATAAATTGTAAGATTCCAATTGTTTTAAGGTTAGTATAGAAGCTCAATACTGGTTTGTCCTGAAAGCAGCCTGATGGTGTTTTAACATGTTGCTGACTTTGTTACAGATAATGTATACAATCAAAATGTATTAGCTTCACTTGACCAACTCTTAGAATATTAAGAAATCAGTGTATTCAATGGCATTCTGTATTTCTGTTCAGTATTTCAGAGTGGTTTTATTTTAAAACACTCTGGTTTTGCGTGAATTTAAGTGCTTTTCCAATGTTAATCTTAACATTCTGAAATCAAACAAAATATAAAGCAGATGTAGTGCTATATTTACTTCTAATTTCATATTCCTGGTCAAAATTACTTAATTTCTTGGATGTAATTTATTACAAAAGTTTATGTGTACATGTGAATAGACTATTGTGTTTTTCACAATTAAGAAATGTTATGTGAAAATAAATATTTATCCTAACTAATTTTCAATTTTATTTTTATACTGAAAAACTCAGAAGAGGTTTGTAATATCATGTGATATTTAAAATGTCTACCTGACCTGAATGTGCTTCACAAATTAATGAGTGGTAGAGCCCAGCATGGCTCCCTTTTCAAGTGGAATCTCACTGAAACATGCAAGGCTGTGAGTGTTGGCTCCCTGGGTGGAGGTGGTGGTGATGTCCTGGGTCTGACCTTAGCAGTAGGTGTGACACTGGGGACAGCTCAGAGCTCACTGCTCCAGGAAGAGAATGCAAATGAAGCTCCAATTTTCTACTCCTGAGCTGAACCCCCTTCAAGATGGTGTGGAGCAAGCAGGAGTAGATGGATCTTTTTAGAGATTAGTAGGTAAGGTCATACAATTTAAAATGCTACTGCTCTTCTCAAAACCTTAAATTTCTGCTACTGAAAAACTTTAAAGCCACAAATTGCAGTACTACGTTACAGTATTGACTCCATCTTAATAAATTCCTTTTGAGCTTCTTCACTGATTATTAAAGCAAAAACTAGAAGTCTCTCAGCCTAAGAATGGTAACAGTGACACCTCAAGCTTCAGCTGCTTCTGTTAGGATTTTACACAAAGTGTACTGTACAACAAAATTAAACATCCATTTCACATAGTAAAAAAAAATACACAGGAAAAAGGTGATTGGTAGATGTTTGACTAACTAGTATGTTGCAGTAATTCAGGCACAACTGATTTCTAGCTTTGAACTTCAATGAAATGACCTAGATGTTCTGTGACCTCAGTTTTATTTGTTTACCTGCACTCATGCAGCTTAAACAAGTTGTCAGTTCCCTGAGGTAGCTCTATTGCCTGCATTATTTTTGGAGCTGAGGGAGTTCCACCAGAGTGAAAAATTAGACACCAAGTTGATGTTAACTAGGACACTTACTGTAGCAATTTGTTTTAAAAATTGTATTAATGTCTACTAGCAGTGTATCTTAAGAGGGTGCTTTCCAGACAAAAAAAGATAATTAGCATTGCATTGTGTTATGCCTCACAAATAAAACAGTTAAAAGGGGATGATGGAGTGAGAGCACAGAAGAGTTTCCCAGTAAGATGCTATGATCATTAAGGTATGTCAGATGCAGAGTTACATCTTAATGAAAGACCATATAATTTCTAGTTTCACTTATTTTTTTAAATGTTTCTCTGATTATACTACTTTTTGCACTTATCAAATGAGACCCTGCTGAAAGTAGTTTTTTGGATTACAGAAACACTTTTTTTGGTCTTTATGACAGTGTGAGGGATAACATTAAAATAAATCCTATTTACCCTTGCATATACAAGCCACATCATAATGATATTTTTTTAATAATAATAATAATAATAATAATTATATTTTTTTATAACCTGTCTATGTTGCTAGGATCCACCTTATACTGATTTAGGTGTTTTTGTCTTGAGTCAAAAGAATGAGAGATGTGATGATATAACCTCTTGGTGATAACTGACAGCTTGCAATCCTGTAGAACTTTAACTGGTGCCTCTCTACAGTAGAGCCACTACTGAACCCAAGATGGTATTTGTAAAACCCAACTCTAGTGTGTTTCAAAAAAACACCAACAAGCAGAACAAAACCACACATCTTATTTTGTGAGTCATAGAATTGTTAGTTTGTGAAAACAAAATCTGATTTTCTATTTGAGGCTTTCTTATTTAAGGACAAGCTGCACAAAGTGTCTTAACATTCTTCCCCACGCTTTATCTGTCTGCATGAGTACTTTTACATTCACACCTAATGTCACTAATAACCCACAATACAGACATAATCAGATGCTGGCATGTAATATCAAGAAGCTAAGTGTTAGATAATCATGTCACACTCCATTACATGATACCATTACACAAAATCAGAAACTTCACTGTAAGTCATCCTCAAAATTAATAGGGATTAAAAAAAAATCTTCTTCTGAAGCAACATATTCAATGATACAGACTACAAGTTCTTTCATAAATTAATATATTTATTATTTTAAAGCAGTACAATTTTTAGTACAAGTGGATTGCATTTTTTCTATGTGAAATTGAGAAAACTAATCTTCAGATTAGATGGAGAAGCCTACCTGGAGTGCTGTAAAGAAAGCAGACGTTTATTGGTAGGCTGTAAGAAAAGCACTTTTGCCAAAGAGCACGTTGAAAGAAGAGTGACAGTCCAGCCCTTGCTTTAAGTGACTGCTAGTTTGCATTGTAATGTTTTATGTTTTAGGGTAAGAACCAGTTTCTATTCATCAGTACATGAGCAACTCCATTAAAAAAATGGGGGTCTTGTCAAGTTCCCAGAGGACATGTTTCAGTGCAGATTCCCAGAGTAGCCACCATTTTTACTATAAAATAAGCAAAAATCACAGTGCTATATGATAGCACACGAAGAAATTCAGTGCCAGTGGTTTGATTAGGTATCACTCAAAATCTTTGGTGAAAGCTGATTACATGCTTTCCTTGCAAGAGTTCTGCAACCATAATACAAGAGGTTGCAGAGGAAATACGCTTCAGGAACTGCAGGATGGAGTGTTTCCATTCTGCACATACTAACATTGCAGTACTCCTGATACTGATTCTAAAATAATAATTATCAAGCAAGCCTTACAAATTTCTGCAAAGATGTTTCTTCATTATTTCCACAGAAACTACCTCAGGGTTCATTTCATTTTTGATTTTTTTTTAATTTTAGTTTTATTCTGCAACTGATTGCCATGTGTCATCTTTATCATTCATTATCTTGATATAGAAATCGGACTCTTTTCTCTTTTAGGCTGAAATATCAAAAGGTAATTACTCAAGCAGCTATCATGCTTCCTAGAAGTCTGCAACATCATTCTGGTGATGTTAAGACCTGATTAAACACAATCAATAAAAATGCAATAGTTGCTTGGCAACAGGAATCATTATAAAGATTAGCATTTCATTGTGTACACTGGTATCCCAAGAGCTGACTCTTATCTCATCTTGATTTATACTGGCTCAGAGTACATTATCTTGAGAGTTTTCTGGAGAAGTACCATCACTAACAAGCAAGATGCTGGTGCTAGGGCAGTGAGAAACACTGCTTTATGAAGTGGCTCATATGGGTATAAATATGCTTATGTGCTCGACCAGAGATGGAATGGTCCTTGTCAGTGTACCACTGTGTGAAAGAGAAATACAGAGCATGTTAGTTGCAGCTACATCTGAATGATATAAATCAGACATGACAGACATAAAAACCAGTGCAGCTATTTAAAATGATCCTAGCATGAGGCTTTCAGCATTTCAACAAAGACATGATGGGGTAGGAAGCTGTTATGACTCTTTAGCTCCTTCTTTGCATGTGGGACATGATCTGTTTTTATGCTGAAGGTGTAAAAACATGTGGCTTGTCCACATGGAGGGTAGACTCAGCTGTTCAGTAACAAGGGTGCCTGACCTCTCCCTCTGTATGTCCTTTGAGTAAGGCTGAAGGAAAACCATGCACTTGGTCCTCTTACACATCATCCATTTTAGCACTGCTCCCCAAAGGCTGAGAGAATGTGGGAAAGGAGAGCTTGCACCTTGGTCTGAGAACTTCCATGCACAACCTAAGAAAGGGCAAATAGCTGCTTGTCTTACAAGTTCAGTTAACACCAGACGTGATGGACAGGTTATCTGGGGTTTTGCTGAAGCCAACCTTTCCTTTTATCCTATCTCTAAGACACTATTCACTGCACTTGGGTATATGCAAAGGTTGGGACTGGCTGTTTAACACAAAAAGTTTAAGAAAATGAAAGATTAGGTCAAAAGGGTCAAGTATGAGATGGTCTTGCTTTACAGTTTTTCTTGTGCAGAAATAAAACACGTGCTTTATGTTCACATTTCAGTTACTGGATATGAAATGCAACTACATCAAATTTCATTTAAGAAAGCAATGAATTTATACCTTACCACAGGGAACTTACGTTATTATTCTTATTTATATAACGATAAACAAAACAGAACCATACCATTGCCTGAAAATCCACTTCAGCATCAACAAGAGCTTTGGAAATCTGTGCTGCTTGCTGAAAGTGAACATTATCTGAAAAGTGGAAGAGGAAAAAGGTAAACAAAAACTGCTTCTGTAATACTCTGGGGGAAAATCAAAGCAATGAACACATTAGACTCCCCAGCACTGCTGACTGAAACGCAGATTAGTTGCAAAAAGCAGTATTATTTTATTGACGCAAATGTAACAGCCTTGCCCCTTCATGCTTTTGTTTTGTCAGTAGTAGAATTGCGAACCTGTCTGTAATACTAAAATGTCTAATTAACTGCAACTCACCATCTGCTGTTCCATGAATAAGGAGATACTCAACTTCCTTGAATTTTTCAGCTCTGGCCATTACTGTTGAACTCTGAAATTAAAGGAAAAAAAAGAAAAAAGGTGCTATTTATTAGGATGTGACTTGCTACCAACTGACTTTGATTCGTGTTGACACAGTCTGGGGTCCTTCAGCTAAAACCAAGCACAGCCCTGCTTACCCCGCTCTGAACCGCCACGGGACGCGGTCGCACAGCCAGGGGCTGGGTGCTCACACTCAAACCACCCCACACCCACCTGCAAGGGGTACCCTGTTGGGGCTGTGAAGGAACAGCAGCTGCAGAGGGGACCAGCTGTGCAGCGAGGCACATGGCCAGCATGGCCAGCGTGCTGGTAGCCGCCAGCACACCGTGTGCCATAGGTTTCCTGTGTGACTGCAGACAAGTTAAAAAAAATGTTGCCATGGCAACAGTGCACCCTGTGAGAGCAAGGAGTAGTTCTTGCAGAGGCTACACACGTTATCTTCCCCACCACAAGGTTCACTTGCAGGTAAGGCACCAGAGCTAAAACTGCCTCAGGCTCCAGTAAAATTGGGCAATGAGAAGTTTAGAAAAATGTGCTCTCCAAATATGAAAGAGAAATGCCTCAACAAAAATCACTAGACCAAATATCTAAATAGAAGTCAAGCTACATTTTGGGAATGGAAACACGATACAGTGATGAAAAGACGAAATAATCAGCAACTACGATTATTCAGGAAATTTAAAATATAGTAACAACATACTCCCTAGAACATTCTAGCCTACCTGACTTGCTACACTAAGTAAAGAATGAAGACACTAAGGATTGCAGATAAGATTTTTAATTTGGGCAAGGAAAGTGAATAGGATGGTGCTCTGCCACGAGCAGAGGAAGAGGAACAACAGGGACAAGACATTTTAGGCTTGATAAAACAACCAGTTAATCTGGCAAGAAAAACAATACTAAAAATTATAAACGGAAGAATTCAGTGTTTGGCTTTTTTTTTCTTCCCCATTTTGTACATGTGCAAGACTGTATCCTTGCACAAGGAATTGCATTTTGAACCCCAAAAAAGTCAAATACATTATACAGCCAAGACACAGAAGTGTTCTAATTTCCTTATGTCTCTTGTACACTCATGTATCTTTAAAGCAAGTACAAATATTAAATTCCTTTTGTCATGGCAGAATAGTGTACCAGAACCCTTCCATAAATGAAATGAGTTATTTGTATGTATTCAATGAAATCTAAAAATCAAGTTCAGCAGAGAGGGCAAAATACCCCCACCCTCCGGTCTGTAAAACTGCAACTCTTTTGACAGTGAAAGGCTAGAGAGCACCAGAAATCCAGTATATGGAAATCCACCAACACTGGAAGCATGACACTTTCCATTTAGATGATTTGGTAGCATGGAGTAAGAACATTTAGCTGCGAGTGCCAAAATATGGAGAGAGCACTTTGATGCACTGAGGAATACTGGCAAAGCAGCTGACCAAAAGAATAAATGAGAAAGAAATGGCCCAGTGAGATTAATGACAAAAAATCCCCAGTAACAACAACAAAAACCCAACCCCAAACCAACCAATATCCTTTGAGTAAATAGTTTTCCTCACATGCAGAGGGAAACTTGATAGATCACCTTGCTACGCTTTCTTCCAGAAAACCAATGCTGTTTTAAGTAAACCTTCTGTGAGTGAAGCCTGATTTAAGCTACACTTCTGAGAACTTGACTTGGCAAAAGCAGTTTTAGAAAGAGGATGTCATTATTTTTCCTCTTCAGGCATTAAATAAAATAGACTTATTTATAAAAATACTTCAGAGAGAAGAAGCATATGAGATACTTTCTCTGCTTTTTTATCACTGGTGATACTTCACTTGATGTACTCACACTCAACACGAAGAGTCCCTTCCCTAAAACATGCTTTAAGGACACAAAGTACCTTTGTGTCCTTAAAGAAGGCTGCAAGATAGGGAGCACTCTCAAGTTAGGCACAATTAGACAACAAAGCAACAGCAGCTGAGTAAACCTTAAGTGGACAGTAAAAAAATACAACTTTATTTACCACTTCCCTTTTATAGTTATACTGCTGGGACAAAGGCTCTGAAAAGGTAATGTACACAAGTACTGAGAATTAGGCCCTGCTGAGTGTAACTGGCTTTTCTAAAGATCACACAGCAGTCAACATTTTATCAGCACTCCACAAACAAGTTAAGGTTTGGCTGAAACTGAAGGTCTCTCTCCCTTTAGCATATTCTCAGATAATAGAACAAATGTCAAATCAGTACAAGATGGCATATTTACAAAATTGTACCCTGTTTTGCATAACCTAATGATGCAGCAGTTCTTAAGGACTGAACATTTCAAATCTGCTAGAAAAAGATTGCCAAATCTATGACTGTTTCAAACACTTGCCAAAAGCATATCAAATTCAGAGTGAACTGCAAAATAATGTTCTCACAAGTTGAACAGTCTCTTTGGTATGCTTTACATGGCTACTGTGTCTGACCTCCAGAGTTCTGCCCTGATTCAGTCTCAAGTCTTTTGCATCAGGGATGCTTCTTCCAGGCCGCCACTCAGCCTAGGATTATATCAGGAGCACCACCCATGCTTGCTCCTCTCTTTTACAAAGCTCTGATTTTTAATAGTTTACAACTACCTTAAAAGACACTGAACATACCTAATCAGCCCACTTAGGAGTGTGAGTCCTCCCTCAGATTTGAATCCTGACAAACAGTATTTAACATCTCAGATTCTCTGCCTTTAATAACTGTAAAACCTCATGTCACAGTAATAGAAAGGTAGGATGCACCTCTCTTATCTCAAGTAATTTCTTGAATCTATACATTCAGTCATTAATAATACTCTCCATGTTAGCAATGTGCCTAGCAGTATTCATCTTCTCTGAACAGGTGTGTACACCATCTCATTTCTTTTAAATCAGGGTGCATACTACAGTTTATGCAACTTTTCACACCAGCTTTATAGCAATGCAGCAGGAGAGAGAATATATGATGCAGCACACAAACCTGACAGCACAGAGTTAGCAGTGCAAGCTTTAACAGCTTCAGCTGTATGTACTAGCTTTCAGCACAGATTCTGCATTCACCTCAAAAAACATTCATTTCAGCAAACAGCTCTCGTCAGTGTCAAGGGGCCAGGAGGCTGGCTATTGGAACTGGGACATGGAACAAAGGGGCTGTAAGCCAGGAACATACTGGGCTGAAGTCAGTAAAGGTCTGCAGCAATAACAAAATCCCGTAACGCTTTCACTGAGGCTGCATGAAAAACAACAAACTCTCTTCTCCAAGCTACCCCACCCTCCAGGTTAAAAGTGAAGTCCAACTACTATATTATTTGAAGCTTTTAACAACAAATGAGGATTTAAGATGCATTTTCCTTTCTCTAGGAGCAGCAGCGAAGTGTGACAATCTGATCTAGGCAATTACTCCTCCTCCATCTAGCCACCATTCTCCCCAATTAGTCCTCTGAGTAACACATTTGAAACCTTTAGCTCTTTGGTACTGGCAGTTTCAACGTGGCCATTGCCAGCAATGGATACCATGCCAAGAAAATCCGACTCCTGGCTTGAAAGGATTAAACAGTCCTCTGTTGCCATCTGTGCCGTGAAGCTGGTGAGTGACTTTGTGCACCCAGAGCGTTAACGTTCGTTCTGCACAGCGACAGTAACTTGTATTTACACTGCTACCTCACAGACCTCCTACTCTTCCCACTGCCTTAAAGAAACGCTTTTGGAAAAAGGCAGGCAGGCGGCTGCAGGCTGCTGGTCAGTGCCTGCTGGGCCCAGTAACTCAGTGGTTAGAAGAGGCAGACACAGACACAGCAGCAAGGTGTCCAGCAGTCACTACCATTGTTCCCAGTCTTGACCAGAACGTCTCATATAGCAGTTGACATCACTAGAGTACTGTAAGTATGTGTCAAACCACATGTTTCAGTATATATATATATATATATATATATGTATTTATACGTTTTCTCGTATTTTTAAATCAATCCAACAACCTCCACTCTTTTTTTCTACCCATGACACTTTTAATGCACACAACCAGTGCTAAACTGTCTTCTACTCTGCTTACCAACCCAAACACAGAGAATGCTCTATCTCCTCCTCTCACATCAGTGTTTGGTTCCAGTATCAGCACGGCTGGACTCTTCTGTGAAACATTCCAATAACCAGGCCACAAAGTACACCTCAGATCCCTCACAGTTCTCCCATAGCCATTGTATTTTCACCTAGGCCTGAAGTTTAACAAAACGTCACAGAAAGTTTGGCTGTTCTGCCTTATGCCCAGCTACCTGTGACTTCAAAAAGCCCCTGAGGCAACAAAAGTTGTCTGGCACATAGAAGAGCAAGTCAAACAATTGATTAATCATGCTGTAACAAGGACAAACAATATACATGCAATTTGCTTTCAGTAGGGCACATGAAAATTCCCTCACTTCTGTACAAACACTGGTCATATTAGAACAAACTTTGGACCCTGTGTTTATGGAGATCAGGCCAACATTTCAGTCCTGACACTGCTGGCTCTCAGTTGGTCTGCAATTTGATATATTCACAGTACAGACAGACCTGCCTATCTGTCAAAGTGTTCTACTATTGAGGAGATTTTGCTTTCCCTGGAAAAAACTTGTGGATTTCTAAAGCAGGGAAGTTCACACAATATCCATTTAAAAAAAAAAATAAAATTACATTTTATAGAGAATGGGAGTACATTTGTTTCGTGAAAAATGTTTAAGATAAAGCATACTTTGCCCACAAACATAAATTTTAAAACAAATTTGCTTCTTGGTGGTTAAAAAAAAAGTTTTTACAGATTGTTTTGCAGGCTACAAAGTGATCAAATGGAAGTAAATGTAATAAAAAAAACTCCAGAACACCAACACACCAAATAAACAACAGAAACTCCACACCATTCACCAAGAAGAAGCTGCCTTGTGTAAATCCAAACACGTGAAACTACAGCCTCTAACAGCACAATGCAACAGTTCTAGCAGGAAAGAAGAAACAAACTTATTTCTTCCCACAGGGAAATAACTAAACTGTTTAAAGAACAATACAGCAGTTTAGAAATGAAACAACACACCAAAAAATGAAATAAAGTGATTTCTTTCTTACATTATAGTTCTTCAGATTATCATTTGCTGTAGGAAGGCCCATGTATCGCTCTGTGTAGATTGAATCTGAAATTTAAAAATCCCCAAATTAGAATCTGCTACTGAATTTTCAGTCTGTTTACCATTAAGTTTACTCATCGATGCAAGCAGTAACAATGCATATTGGAAATCATGTTCTCCACAATGAGGGGTGTAGGTAACCATCGTTATTCAGAATATTTAATCTTGTTGCCATGGACACCTGAATGCTGAATATTAATATAGTACTATGTGTCAGTGTTTCCTTATTGTTATTCTTTCACTAATCCTAAAAAAAATACTGAAAATGTTGCAGTAAATAATTAGCATCTGAAAAAAAAATCTTATTTATCTAAATATTTACTACCAAAAATCTATATTATGAAAATATAGTAGTATATTAGGATTCAGTTTGGCTGAAAAAAAAAAAAATTCCTACATATTTTTTGCCATTTTACCATTTGCTGCTTTAAGCCATACAAATTAATGCTCTGTTGCCACATCCTAATGCCCATTTGACTTTTCATCAGAATTGTTGCACTAGAGGTTTTTTATGCTGAATATGTATGCCTCCATAATCCTTCATTTAACTAGCTAAAAGTGGAATTTTAGTGATCTTGATTGTTAAAAAAAAAATTCCCTGTTATATTGTAATATTCATGTCGAAAACATTATGAAGACGTTGCTATGTCCCCAAAAGACTACTGCTACTGCCTGGTATGATCTGATCTGCTGAATTAGCTGTTATACAGCCTCTGTGCTAGTTGCAGAATGATAAATTATGCCTTATTTAGTAGAGGTTTGCCAGGGAAAGCTTTCTCTTGAATGTTTCTGGACAAATGAAAATGAGAAAAATGTTAAAATGTGTTCAGATTGTACCAGCACCTATTTATAACTTTACATATTTTTTAAAATTATGTAAATTTAATACTGGGAGAAGGGCCCCTATAACTGTATTTCTAGTCTCATGCTCTGAAGGCTTGAATCATGTAGAGACTTGTCCACTTGATCAGGTTTTTCTCACATCAAGCTATTCTCAAGATGAATTAGGTTTATAAAATCCACATTTTAGATGCTGAAAAAAAACCTGACCAACCAACCTAAGGCAATTCAAATCCTATTCTGTTACTTTGAGGGAGTAAATTACAATTCAAGTTCAAAGTTAATCCTCACAGTTCATTCTTATAAATGAAGTTTCATTTTGAAGACACAAGAGTTTAATTGAGATGGATTTCTGACACACAGTGCTGGTTTCAAAGCAAACACAGACACATTTCAGCAGTACTACCAATAGTACAATGGCCTTCATTAATGCTTGAAGAGATTACCTGAAGTTATGGCTCTGACTTTTTAAAATGGGAAATAATATTTAGCAATTTTGTTTAATTTCAAAATGCAGTGGCCGCGAGTTCATAAAAACAGACCAAGTGGAATTTACGTGGCATCTAGTAGAAAATCAAAAGTTCAGCTCTACGAATCCACACTTTGCAGCGTGTGCACTGGAAGACATATGGGAATCCTTGTAACGAGGAAGCCCTCACATACCATAATATTGCCAGCGTGACACGGGGGCAACCGCTATTCCACACTTGAACACGCCGCTTCCAGAGCCAAGCACCATGGAGGTCACATATCCCCCATAAGACTGAGAAGAAAACATTGCTGTTATTTTAGTCGGAAGGGAAAGGATGGGGCCCATCTGCTACACAGTTCATCAGGCATTTATAGGCTCAGCGTTTTTCATATTAATGAACTCCATTCTGAATTTGGGTCAGATCTCAGCCAGCCTGCTCAGTCGGGGAAACAGGCACCAAACAGCGCATGGCAGCTGTGGCGCTGATGAGTGAGAACTTGATGGGGAAGAAGGGCGCAAACGCTGCTGAACTGTGACTCAGCTGAGGATGACTGTGTTTGGTAGCACTGCAGGCAGCAGCAAAAGACAGGAAACAAGACACTGCTGAACCGCTGTGTCCCTTCCCGTGCTGGGGGAGTGGGTGGAAGCAGAGCTCTGGCCCACAGTGTGTCTGATGAGTAGTTGCAACAGGGCATCCAAAAATTTACAGCTCCCTTGGAGCAGGCCTATGGTAGCTTGCTCCCTAACTCTCCCCCAAAGTGTCAGGAGCAAGACTCTGACTGGGGAGTGAAGGATCTGCTGAGCCTGTGGGAGGAACTGTGCAACAACACTCTCCTTGCTACGCACAGAAAATTTACTCACAGTCTAGCCTGATACACAGATGAGTAAATATCTGACACACTTGAGCATCCAGGCAGCAAGACACCTAAACGCTGCCACCGACCGCCCAAACAACTGCCCTCAAAAGAATTTGAATGGGTTATTTACGAAAATGTGCCCACCTACATTCAAAAACAAGAGCTATTTTGGATCTCATTCCTGTCTTAAAACCACATTACAGGCAAAGGGAATGGCATCTTTTTACAAAGCCCTTAAATGTTTGGTCCAAATTCAATTCCTAGATCCTTCCAATGAGATTAGCTAAGTAATGCATGCACATAGTAATTAAACACTGTATAAATGCCTAACCTGGCCACAGTAAGGATATTGCTGCTGACTCTATGGCAAACAAAATCCATGTACATAGTGACAGGCTGGCAATGAGAGGCTGACAAACTGAAAACCCAAGAGAAAAAGAAAATCTGTTTGCCCTCAAGTTGAGTGTCCAGGATGAATAATCCCAACACAGCTCTAAATAGGAATGCTCTTGATCCTGAGGATCATAAAGACTTAAGATGGGACTGCATCAAATCATCAATTTCTGCAGAAAGAATTTTCCTTTCACAACAGTCATTACATGTGATTTCATATAACAGAGATATTTACCCCTAAGTGAAAAGCTATTAAAAGCACCATATTGCCATCCAGCAGTTTATTCACTGCTGCCTGTCACCTGCAGTGCCCAAATTTCAGTTAACAATTTAATTCAGCACTGGAATCACTAACACTATGTACACACCTAGTTTTGCAGCTGAGGGGGTATGTATATGCTCTTAAACTATTAAATATTTCCATATACTGTGCCAGGTTTTAAGGATGCATCAAGTCAGAGAAATCTGGCCCCTGGTTGTAAATACCAGGATAACCATCCCACACAGCTGGCTCGAGTGCAATTTCACACCTTTTTATAAAAATCAGTCATCCAACTGAAGAAACACTGGTGAATATCTGCTTGGATTTTTTTTTTTCTTTAGTATAGGTTCATACTGTACACAGGAACTTGGCAGCATCTGTTTAAATGGGTATTAGTCCCTCTAGTAGTCCAAATTTCTCTTACAAAGGCTCCTGAATGATTGCAAAAGGCAATATAGAAACACACTTTTAAGATGAACTTCATCAGTTCAAGCACTGGATTGTGCTGTGACCGCAGAGGTGCCTCACGTGAAGCACTACAGGATCTCACACACATGGCAGCACAACAAATGGTTCTTAAAATTAAATAGTATTCCTGCCAAAATTATTTGAGTACTTACCCAACCCCAAATAGCTATTCTGCCCTTATCAACAAAGCTCATTTCAGAGAATTTTCTGAAAGCAAACAGAATAATTAAACACTTAACGGACTGCAAGTATCTGCCATTCTACAGATGTGCTTATTTCCTATCAAGACTGCCTGTTTCTATTGTACAAATAAGCATTTCCCACTTCATCATAGTGACTGCATATGAAAACACACAACAATTCAGGCATGTCTTTAGGAAATTTAGAAAAACATCTGTGCATATGACATTCGGAAGCCCCTCAACCCACACTGACATTTGTATTGTATTAGGTTAGATTGCACAAAAATCAAATTGCAGCAGTAAGGAACAGATCAGCACATGTAAATACAGTCACCATTAAAACGAATAAACAAAATCAAAATATTATGAAATTCTATTCGTTTAAACTACTTAATATTTTAAAATTCCATATAGAAAACCCTGTAAGATCACTTCATTGCAATTCTGAGGGACCCATACTGGAATTGTTTGTTTCAGTGAGGTTCAACACACATAAACCAACCTAAAAACATGAGCTATGATTTAAAATCTGAGTACCATAATTCTGCAAAAAGAGAAACTTGCAAAAACCTTGAAGTAAAACTTCCATCTCCAAGTTCCTTGGTAGCATGTTCTTCTACTATATATGACACAAACCATCTCTATAAAATCATCTCCACCTATCAGAGATATGGTTAATTGGTATTACAGCATTAACTCTCCTCTCTTTTTAAGCATAAAATGATGGCTGGTCTATAAATGACACACTTCAATGTACAAAATTAAGCAGAATGTAGTTATTTTTTGCCGATATTTTCAAGATGATGATTTGGAACCATCACTTTTTTTTCCCCCTGTTACACACTAAGCACATAAAAGAAGGAACAGGTGTTGACCTTTCCCTGTATCTCACCTGGCTGCTGCTATCTGATCTTCCACTTCATATGTTCCCAGCCTTCTGTTTATGGCGTGCATAATTTCATCCCCTTGGTAGCCGCTGCCCCTGCCGTCGAAGCTGGCCACGATGATCTGCTCCGTGCTTGCCAGGTAAGTCGCCCAGCTGATCCGGAAGACTTTGTCTACTTTCTGACTACAAGGTCCTGCATACCTAGGGGGAAAATGTCAAAAAAAGCAGGCAGCATTTACTCTTCACATATTCTCACATCAAGCGTTTGAAATATAATTATTGCTGGCAATTTTGGCCTCTAAAACAGGATAAACTCTCAAATTAAACTGAGGAAACAAGAAAAGCATCACTGACTGACTCCAAGGTGCCACTATAAGCAATATGCTTTTTTAAAACTTCAGCTGTTAATCAAGAAAGCAGACTGGATTTTGTTTTTTTCATTTTCCTTTCTGTTCTAAAAAGAAACCTTTGTTATTTTGACTTTAAGCAGCTTATCAGAAATCCAAGCCAAGTTTTCTTTTGTTTTGGCATATCTAGTCACCTGAGTTTCAAAGTGATATTCTCTAACTATTTCT